CAACGGGTAAAACCCTCTCCAAATGCGGCTGCGCCGCTGGCCAGCTTACCGGTACCCACTGGATGCTGGCGGTCCATGAGTTTGGACTTTGTGTCTGGCCTGCCGAAAGATTCGGCGGGCAACACGAGTGTCGCGGTATTTGCCGACCGGTTGAACAAGATGGCTCATTTGGCGGCGGTGCCAGACACCATCGATGGAGTCAGTACAGCAACGCTGTTTGTGGATCGTGTTTGTTGACTAAACAGAATCCCAGATTCGATTGTTTCTGATAGAGACCCCGTTTCATGGGGAAAATTTGGTCGACTATCTTCAAGGTGCTAGGCACCAAATTGGATATGTCGACGGCGGATCATCCGCAGACCGATGGTCAAACCGAAAGGGTGATTTGCGTCGTCGAAGACGTTCTTCGTAGCGCCTGCGCTGTGAAGCCGAGGGGCTGGAGCGTCATGTTGCCACTCGTAGAGTTTGCGCTGAACAATGCAGTGCATTCGTTTACCGGCTACACGCCGTTCTACGTGAACGGGATGATTCACCCTCGCGTCCCGCTGACAGCGCCATCTCATGGCTCAGGCCTTTGTGGGAAGGAAATTCCGAACGGCTAGCTGAAGTCAGCTCCCTCACCATCCGCAAAGAAGTCAGTGACTTCTTGTCTACCAGACTGAGTGTCCTACGACACGTTCGCAATCCGATAGCTGAAAGATAAGACCTGCAGAAAGAATATGCAGATGAAATAGGAAGAGGCAATGCGGAAAGCTTTAAGTCGGAGACCTAGTTTTATTAAACACTAAAAACCTTCCTAGCCTTTATAATCTTCAGGACGAAGCTTCATCCACGGTTTATTGGACTGTTTAAGGTAGTGGCCAAGCGGGGCCTAGCGTATACGCAAAACCTTCCAAAACGGGTGTGTACCCACCTAGTGTTTTATGTGGGCTTGCATAATTCGTACAGGGGGCCGGCGCAAGTGAACGCGGAAGCGTTGGCGCCAGAGCAAATCCTACGGGCCCTCGGCCACCCAGAATCTGAACCAGCAACTTGTTCTGAGCACGGAGTGCAACAATCTCCAATTCCAACGGAGCCAAGCGCTTCATCGTCGCCTGTAGCGGCGCATTCGCCTGCTTCACGGCTAGGAGTCGCTCCGACAAAGCGCGGTAATCTTCAAGGTGAGGCAGCTGGCACACGACGCTCTCCGAATCCTCAAGAGCGTCCGCGCAGCGATATGTTACTTCAGCATGACGCTCAGCGGAGCCCCGATCAAGAAGGATCTCGTCCTCAAGGGCTCAAAGAGCATCGCGAGTCGTCGGAAGGCGGTCGACCCGGTCGTCACCGCCCGCCACCGACTCTTTGCGATGAGAACGGTGACGTCCACTATCACGTGGAACGTCTAGTGGGACAACGTCATCACCATGGTCAAACCCAATATCTGGCGAAGTGGCGGGGATATTCCGACTCCGGAAATTCGTGGGAGTTTGAGACGCCAATTCGGCAAGATTGCCAAGTCGCCGTGGACGCTTTTGATCAGAAAGATCAGGACGCCCCGCGTCATCAGACGGCCCGCGCTTCCCGGCAATAGCCAGGGAAATTGAAGCGCCATGAGCTGAGCTCAAGCAGCGGCCCTGAGCTCTTGCGGTCGCAGATACAGAGCTTGCGGGAGCGTAGGAGTTGACCCATACGTCGCAGGGCGACAATATGAAGGAAGTTGACGGCGTGCTTTGAGTTTGGCAAGCTCAAATTGGAGGTGTCGCTTCACTTCCTTGCGGCTCAACTGTAAGGCATACAGTGAAGAAAGTTTGCGGTGCCGTTGCACCCATCGCTCAACGAGCGCTTCGTCATCTGTAGCGCTTTCGCCAGGGGCAAGCACTACGGGTATTGTCCGCAGTGCGGGTACACGAGAGCCACCTTGTTGAGCACGCAGACGAGTGCGATAAGCTTCCAACGAAAATTCTTGTGAAACCAAGAAATGAGCTCAAAAAGCTTTATGTTCGGCAAGCTCATCTTCCGTAATGGCCGGGGGCCTGATGATATGGAGGCGTAACGATCGAGTTACCGCGCCCTTTGCTTATACAACGGGATCCGCCGGGCGGAAGCCATATTCTTCACGAGGGTCAATGAACGACTGTGGATGGGCGCGCATCAGAGCCACCTTACGGGCGGCTTCCAGCTGCCGCTTCTGCGCCTCATCGAGATCATTGGTGATTACACCACGCAGGTGACGAGAAGTCAGGAAAAGGTACACGAGCTCCGCAAGGCGTGAGAAGGGCTCGTATCACGCCGCTGGCGCAGCTCGCCTTCCTCGACATCCCATGCGGGAAAGGGGGTATCAGACTCGTAGTCGACCACCTCCACATCCTCAACGAGGTCACTCGTCACGGATAGCGTGCGCGGAGCGCGACGCTTGTGCTCATCGAGCCAAGGATTTACATCCCTCGGTGCCGCGAATGCACTGTCCTACATTACACCGCGTGCGGGAGACGAAGACATGCTCTGCCCGTGTTCGCTGTCAGAACCAGCAAACTTGGTGACTTCAGTGTCATTGAGCACGAAAGTCGTTTTGTTCCAACGCAGTGTCTAACGGACACGCAAGCCTCGTTGATGCAAAAATCGATTGGGACTGTAAATGTTCTCATTCTTAATCGGGGAGAGTGTAACGGGGTTACACATACCCTGGTAACAGGTGTGTGTGTAACACCAGATGGGCATGGTGTGACCACACCCAAACAAGAATACGGTAGGGGCTGGAAAGCCAGTAGGTATACATGTGTTTAGATTTTACTATACATATTTATGAAAATCTATGCATTTAAAATTAGGCCGCTTTGCCGCAGATAAAAACTAATAATGTCAGTTCTGAATTTAAATGGAAGGGTTTTTAGCCTTGGGTTAAGGTTGTAATTACTCTTGGATTGCGATCCGCTAAATCGTACTTGTTCTAAGTATAGAACGAAAGGCCGGTGACTAAAATTACGCTTCCTCTAAGCGCAACGCTACTGCAGCCTCGCTGTATCATGTGCTGTATGCATATGTTTGTAAATGAAGGGGGTACCATGTTAGTTTGCAAAGTAAATATTTGTAAAGTCCTTAGTTCACTAGACTGTGCTGCCTGTAAGCCTACTGAGTGAAACCTGATTTATATATACCGACGAAAACTGTTACATCGTTCGTATCATATCTGTAACCATGAATCTTGCCATACGCATCACCGTAATTCTTGTGAAGTCATCGCTTGTAATGTACATCCGCTGAGTGGCGTTATCATACCACTCCACTCTCTGCTAATGTTGTGTCCAATTAGACTCTAGTTTAGTATTGGTACCTGTCCTTTCAGCAGAAAGATGAGCGTCTTGGTCCAGAGTCCCATGGTAAACAAATTCGCAAAATTTGGTGCTTCGTGTCTAGTCCTTCCGTACCGTTCTCAACTTTCGCTCCCGTGATGCGATACTTGATATATATATGCTTGGTTCTGGTATGATAACCAGCATTCGCTGCCAACTTTATTGCCCCTTGATTGCCTTCCAAGATTTAAGTAGCAGAGTCCTGGTCGTCACCCATGCCCTTTAACGTCGCGCGAGTTTACAGTACCCCTTGTTATCATAAGCTCGGCACTATGTTCTCTTTTCTTGCATAGCTAAGCGCCAATGTTCTATGAAAGTCGACTTGAACACCACGGGACCATTCTGATCCTGACCACCACGCTTGATACGGAATGCCTGTCGTCGATGTTGCTACACCGATCAGCGTCCGTGAACGTGCACGATTCAATGCAAGAGTGTTGTCTTTAAGTACTAAAGCACATTAATCGCAGCTCGTCAGTGTTGTATTCTTGGATTCTCTTAAAATTTTGGCGGCTGTGGTACCACATAGGCAATATCCAGCCTGGTACACTTCGTAATGTACATGTTCGCGGTTCAGGAGTGCGGTGTCTGCATCTCATTGTTCCATCTCAAGAGCTTCTGCGACTTCTAACGCTAAGAAGACGCGAATTGGGCTTATTTTCGCCACGGAGAATTCTATATTTAGCCACCAACCGCGCATTCTAGCGTATAATCCGGCCACTCTCGTTAGACTTCTTGGCTAAATACCCACCGAAGCCCAATATAATGAGCCGTTCTAGCATTCAAGCGAGCAAGTTCCTTTTGTGTTAAGAGGCTCTGCCGACATTGCTTCCCGCCACGTCATTACCTATTTACTTGTGACTGCTGCGGCTTACGAGCGCCGCCCGATGCATACCGTATATGCTATTACTGCGTCAGCAAGGAACCCATTTTCGTCATTTCTTTCACGCTTTGGGGATGGTGGGCTATTGCTCCTCTATCCTTTGTTCATCATCCACTCCCACGCCATCTAGTAGAAATACTGTCTCCCAAGAACGCCTTGATTGTTCTGTCCGCAGACAGTATACTAAACGACCCCCCCTTAACGGACGCAGGGAGCATTATCTGCCAGTTTGGCGTCTCATCTTCCAGTGCCAGAGGCTGTTGCGCACTTGTATCCAGCTTCACCTCGACTTCATCCATCGTATAAATGTAAACGGATTCTTCGACAATTTCAATAAATTTGATCGGCAACGGTCGTTGGGGTTAAACCCTACAGCAATGGTGAAGGCTCAATGCATGCAGCGCTACAAGGGCGTGTCACCAGAGCAGATATTCTTTTCGCACCGTTGCCGATGGATGGGAGAGCTACTGGCAATTCTGCCACGTAGCGGGCTCTAATTACGTTGTAGCCACACCATTGTGTGATTATACTAACTTGTGTTATCCACACATATTTACGGTCACACCATCTTGTGTGACCCGCCCTTTCATACAAGGGTACGTGTTTCCCCGTCACATCACTACTTGTGATTGCTCCGGCGTGCATGAGTGTCACGAGCGCCGTCGATCCATTCCGTATATGCTAATACTGCGTCAGCAAGTTATCCATCTTTATCGTCTCTTTGACACTTTGGGAATTATGGACCGTTGCTCTCGTCTGACCCTTGTTCATCATCCATTCCCAAGCCATCTAGGAGAAATAGTGTCTTTCGAGAACGCCTTGATGGTTCTGTCAGCGAATGGTATATCAAATGATCCTCCTTGAATGATCGCAGGGCACGGGTCTACCAGTTAATTTGCAGTCGGCGTCTCAACTTCCAGTGCCAGAAGCTGGTGCACATTTGTATTTAGCTTCAACTCGACCTCATCCATCGAATAACCGTGAACGGATTCTTCGACGATCTGAATGGATTCAATCGGCAGCTGACGTCGGCCAACCAGAATTGAAGCTACTGCTGCATTCCTCTCTTTGGTAGCATATGCGATCGTTTTCAATCCAAGGTACAGTGTATCGTACATACCGTTTATTTCACACTCGTCAAGCCTAACTGATGGTGCTACCTTGGCACTAGACGCTTCCACGTCGTAGACACGGTATCCATTTGTATACGAGAAACACACACTTAAACTTGTTGGAATCAAGCTTCGTCCTTGTTGCGTTGTCGACGTGAGCGCACCCTTGGAGATAAAACCTACGCAGCTGTTCCATTTGCGGCTTTTCCTCAAAACCTACCTATTGATCAGATACAGTGCGATGCTCACAGCTTCTGCCTACCGTGTCGTTTGACACGCCCTAGTAGTGCTGCATGCATTTAGCCTTCTCCATCCGTACGGTTTTCTCGTTCAGCCGCTCCGTGCTGCTGAGGATTGAATGGTATCGTACGCTGGCGCATGATGCCGTGACGAGTACACCTTCCTGTTAACGAATTTGGTTCCTTATCAGTGTGAAGACACTTGATTTTTTCTCATTGTTGGTTCTTGTAAAATGTGCCTTGATCACGACAAGCTTAATGGCAACTTCGCTCTTATTCTTCATGAAGTACGCAGCCAAATTACCTGAGTAGTTATCCAGAAATGCTTTTTTATAAAGTGCACTTCCTTTTGTAACCGTTCGCATCGGCCCCATCACATCAGTGTGAGCTGACTCCAACACGCGTAATGTCTTGTGCAGGGGGACTGTCGAAGCTCTTTGCTTAAAAGAAGCTAAGCTAAGGTCACCGACCCTACGTTCTATACAGGAATCAGTTCGAGTGTAGCGGATAGCAATCCACTACTTTGAAGTACAAAACTTTGACAAAGGCAAACGAGCACTTCTGTCCAAAATCAAAACTGTATTTGATTGTTTTACTTGCGGTAAAGCCGCCAATAATGTAGGTTTGCCTAATGAATAAATTATCACTCATTAATATAGCGACAACTAATTGACATAGTAATGTGCATTACTAGTGGCAATCCTGCCAAGTGGTAGCTTCTAATTACGGTGAAACCACACAACTGTATGATTACACTCGCTTTGTAATACACATCGATGTATGGTGGCTCCATCTTGTGCGACCCGTCCTTTCATACAAGGGTACACGTTACCCCGTTACAACTTGGACGTCGATCGTGATGGGAATGGTGTCACGGTCTACTTCTCCTTATCCATCCACCACAGAAAGGCTTGATGTCACAAATCACAGCTGGCTTACCGTTCGTGGCACGCTACGCTTGAGCCGTAACGCTCCCATGTGAGCATGCCAGAGCTCCCACTAGTTGTCAACCTGCATTCTCTATGAACAGAGCTTTTCTTTCTTGCAGTCAATCACGTAGGCCTTACCAGCCTTTTTGCCCAGTACCACAGTACTGCTTATGCCACCGCAGACACATGAGGAATGCTGAAACTCATCACGTTAACCGCATCATTTTGTAAGCTTCCCAACCGACAGCATCCGTCTATCGAGTCGTGAAATATACAGTACATCCAACATTTATGATGCGCTTGCCATTAATTCTAGTTCCTCTACCCAGGACTCGCAATTGCTTTCTCGAGAAAGCATCTGTTTACATTAAAATAGCTTAAATATCTTTGTAGCGATGATGCCAGTCGACCACCCTCAACTAAATTCAAAAGCAATAATACACGGTGTTGAAGCAGTAAACCAGCTTACCTGATCTCTCTGACAGCCTTATACCCTGTACAACTCAACAAAGCAAAATGCAAAACCTTCGATACCATGTCTTAGCTAATAGCATTTTTTTAAACTTCGCTCATTGTTTTTTTGGGTGCACACGTTTAGTTTATTCTTTTTTTAATTTTGTTTTTTAAGGATTAAGCATGTGTGTACATATCCTTTTAAGAACTCGCCTCGCACAATTTCGACAAATGTCACTCGTCATATGTTTTTTTTGCTAGGACTAGGAACATCATAGAAGGAATGGCGATCCACAAAGAGTGTCCATTGTACCCACGAATTAGGAGCCTGCAAACTACAGACCATCCAATATTCGAAATCACGAGAAAACCCTTAAGTGGCATGTTACTGTTGAGTTAACAGTCAATTCGTGATTGTATCAGAATAATATAATTAAAAATAAGATGCCACTTTTTTTCTCAGCCCACATCCAAAACCATGCTTCTTGGAAGGTCTGATACCAAGGTGTCCAGTTTGCCCAAAATACTTTTTCTCTTAAACTAAGATTGTAGCATTGGCTGTCGTTTTGGTGTTCTGTGTATCTTAACTTATCAATCTGTGACATTTGACCGATAGAACGACTTCGATATTCTTTTCCTTAAGCTCATTTGACTCATTTCTCAGTTCACTCCGCTAGCAATCGACTACTTAACGATTTTGACAGCCATGCATGCAATTGTTTGCTGTGTCATAGCTTTGGTGCTCCTTGATGCTGTCGTTGCTATCAACATGTACGTCGTCTCGAAAGCCACCCCCGCCATACCTGCGAGGAATCGCGAAAACGAGTTTTATCGCGTGAAGATGGCAACCACCCGCCACTTGAGAGAGCACATACTTGCGACATCCAAAGCACAAAAGGAAACACTTCAAGATGAAGAAAGGGCCAATTTTGAATTTGATCATCTGTTGACAGGCGTTGTTAATCAAATAGAGGCTTCGTATGCCATAGCACAAACGGAGTTTGTCCTGGAAACACGTTTCAAGTTTCCCCTCAATCCGCAGATGCTAATGAACTTCCGGATGGCTGAAGAATCAAATGTTATCCAAGGGTCCCCCGAACGATGGTACAAAATTCGTTCTGTCGTAGAAAAGATGAGAAGTGACTTTCTCGCGAAGAAACTAGAAGCCTTAGAGGATGTCGACCCGAAAAAGAAATTGCAACAATCGGTAGCAGATGCTGGAGATGAGAAACTTTTCCTTCTGAACGTGACCAAGGCTCAGAGAATCATCGACATACCTAAGCTACAAGGTTTGCAACCTGATCAAATCGAATCTTACAAGACAAGTGTTTTCTCGTTTTGGAGATCTCAAGACATCAAATCTGATGATTTGTCCAGAATCCTTGAGTACACGGACGGCTCTGACATCCGCTTTGACCTGAAAAAATGGTATGAGATCTACCTGAATAAAGATGTTCCCGAATCGAGTGGTGTTCGATCAGGCTAATCAAAGTAAATAATTGTGCTTTTTCGGTTCAGTCTTGGTGTTGAAAAGAATGCTTTAGAGTTCTATCTGATTACAATAGCATAAATAGATACATTTCATATGTTTGTATCAGCTTTTCGTAATTGACATAGCGCAGCAGGTGATACGATGCATATACATCACGTTGTTGATGTCGACAAAGATGTGAGGAAGGCAAAATAAGCGGTTATTGGACTTACGGCCGTGTCATCGTTGACGACATCTTTGAGTTTATTAAATGACAATCTTCTTCGTCTCAGCACTCAATTCAGTAAGTAACTATCGTTCTACTTGGTATGCGACAGAAGTTTTTTTCTCCTCTTTACAGCTTATTTATCCTTTTGTCGCTGTCTCAAGCAGCAGAGCTGTATGCGCTTTTGATCGATCGTATGCATTACGTCAATGCTCGCGCTCATGTTTTGCTAATAATTTCGCTTGATCAACGCTGAGAGAGACTGTTAAGGCTGCGACTTTTATTCATTTGCGACCACATTTTACAATTCTTCATGACATTTTGAGTCTTTCTTTCTTGCACGAGTATGCAAGGCACAAGCGTCTTTACATTCCTGATTCCACCAATGCACAGATTCAAAGGCATAGTGTGACTCGAGCAGAATTCAAGCAACATCGTGGTGTGCGAAGTTGAGTAATATATAGAGATGTCGAATGACCTTTTCATGTTCATTCATTGTTACTGTTCCATCACTGACAAATTTCAATCAATATGTAGTACAATGAGCTCATCAGCACTTGTGTAAATCTTAAGCAATCAGCAATGAAAAATAAAACACAGCATTGTTGGCTAATAAGTGGCTTTCATAGCATTTCTGAGTTAGTATGACGTTAATCACATCCAATGCTAAGTCAAGCCTGCACTTTCGCAACCGTAATATTGTGTCAAGAGTTGATCAGATGGCAGCCGTGGTATCGCCAGTTAAAAACTTGGAACTGCATTACACTTCTACTTGCGCCAAATGTTCATGCTGCTATTCCTGTCTAGGCTTGGATATGGAACTGCATAGGAAAGAATTTAAATCGAAATGCATTGACTTAGAACAGTCTACCATCAGACTTTCATAACTTATTGTCTATTCGGCGAAGTAGCGATCTTCAGCGTCGCGTTGCATCTCATCGAGGTCGTCCAGTTCCTCATTCGCGTCGATCTCTGCATAATTCACATATTCACTGTCCATCCCGGAGAGAAATCTGTGTTTCATAATCTCAATCAGTTGCTGTCGTCGCTCCTGAATTGTGTACAGTGTCATCTCTTCGTCTTCTTCTACTTCTTCAACATTGTCAACTTCATATAACTTCTCCAGTCGTCGTTTCTCATACTTTTTGTCTACAGCAACAAATGTTGTCCACGTCTTTTGCTCTTTCAACCGCCGAATCTCCATCTCGTGGCGCTGACAAGTTTCTAATAGAAAAGATGATAATTTCTGTCCTTCATTATTGCTAAACAAGGTAGACTCTCTCTTTAGGCCGAGATATTGTCCTAAATGGAAGTGAAATAGCGCTGGACTTCGCATTTGCATCATGCGATCTGAAAAAAAAGAATCGTCGTCTGAAGTGTCTTTTACGAGCTGCTGTAGTCGACGATAGCGGCGATTCTTCACGACTACATTGATACTTTTGGGGGTAAGAGATCGTTTTGCACTATAATCACTTCTTGCTTGTGTGATATGCAGTAGTTGGCTACCACATGGGAGTTCGAGAGAAGCCATGTAGGCATCCAAAGGATCCAACTCCATTCCGTTCGTTTTTGCGCAAATTTCAGAATAGAATAAATCGAAATTTTTGACAAAATGTGATGCAAATGTTTAAAACAGTCTTAAGAAATTTTAATGAGGTCGTAAATTACGATGGAATGGTGGTAACGTTGAACAAGTCGTAGCCGTCAGTCGATGCAGCTACTTTACAATTTCAAAGTTTCCGTATTTTACGTCGATTCTCTGGGCCTTTAGGAATGTTTTATGCTTATGTGTTACGTTTTGCGATAATTTTTGATTCGTACAAATTTCTTGTTGTCAGTATCAGAATTACCGACGAAAGCATATTTGATGAGAGACATAGAGGTTATAATTTCAACCAGTGTATAATATACAAAAGGTTTATTCGCGGCAACATCGATATCATGTGGCAAAGTTCTTGACTTATGTCATGTGTCATGCTTCTATTGATGCCAAACACTAAGTCGTTTTGCAAATGCCTAATATTCCCTATACTGCAGCTGGAAACACCATCATGAAGCTGCAAAAATCAATAAAGATGAAATCGGTCAAAAAATAAAATATTGTGGCCAAAAAGATCGAAATGGGTAACGCTGGTAGTGCCTTGTGTAACACAGCCAGTAGAAACAGTGTACCCCCAAGGCCCTTTAAAAACAACAAAGAATTAGATTTTGACACATTTACAGACACCAATTTTCACGTACCATGACAACACACACAAAAGTAACCACAAAGGTTGAAAAATCCTTGATAGCGGCTCGTCCAACCAACACACTGTAAAAGATAAAATCTCCCAATCCCAATTTTATTGTCTTGTCGTCCTCATCTTCCTCTGCGCGTTGGCGTTCACGACGATCCCGTCTTGCTTGAACAGGGCAAGGCATGTCCATCGAGCACGAGCAGACGTAATATTTGTGAAAAATTAATAACCAAAGCCGGTCTTGTGTTGAAAAGAACTTTTCAGCGACTTGCGGAGCTTTCCACGAATCCTCTGGACTAAACATCTCATAGAATCGCGTAAGTAGACCCACAAGCGACTCCAGCGTTTCACATTCATAAGTCACAAAACTGGACTCAGCTACATTTCGAGGTCGACTGGACGAAAGTACCGGTATTGGAGACGAGTCAGTACGATCATCGATAGTCTGTGCTACGGGTATAGAAACCTCTACAGGTACCGGTACCGGTACCGGTGGAAGGGGTACATGGGTACTGTTGGGTACGACAGCCATAACCTCGTCGTTACTAGATGATTGCGACGTGCCCGAAGACTGACGCTGAGAAATACCATCAGCTACGTCAAGAGTCGGTGGATTTTTTGGTCGACGCTGTTCTTGTCGCTGTTGTCGATGATGGTCGTGGGCAACTCCATCACGAACGTCAGCCTCGTAAAGTAAACCAGGCAATGGTGCTTGTTTCTCTTGAATAAGTCCAATGAGATACTTGAGCGGACCACATGGAGTTAAAACTGCACATAAATCATAGCATGCAAACATTACGCAAAACGTAATTGTTGTCCACTCTGGCCACATACTAAATTGCCACGCGAGAATGACGCTCACAAGAACGAGGTACCCATTCTGCACAAATTTTGGAATTCCTTTTTGATAAAAGATGGCAATGACACCCACAAACCCAAAGTTGATCATGACAAAAAGAAATGTAAGCCAGTCCATTGCCCATCCAAGGTGTCGATTGACAATTTCATCGACCAATTGCCCGCCGACAAAACTCAAAATGGCTGTCGAGGCAAACATAATGTAACCACCTAGAAACTTCATACAATTAAATTTATACAGCAGTGCCATGCCAAAGGTTAGCACAGCAATGACACAAATAATAACCACGGCATTAATAAGCGATTCACCAAGCCCAGAGTTACTATTAGTCCCAGAGTCACCATACACAAGGTACGTCGACATGGAAGCTTCAATGCTGGAGCTTCGGTAGTTGACAACCACAAGACTTGCAATAATCATCGTTACACAGACTGGAAATACAATGGCCCAGAACGAATTTATGCCGTGCATGAGGTCACCATAGCTTTCATCTGGAGAGGCCGGTGTCTCCTCTTCGTTCGTCTGATGCTGAGAATTTGACTGTCGAACTTCAGGAGAATCAGTGGAGTCAGGTGTCGATATCTTGTCATAGTTGCTGTTCGCGAGCAGCGCCGTATTATCCAGAGGCATGACACTTTCCTCGGCACGCACTTGTGCCATCAACGGTTTGCTATTGCCACACTCAGAAACTGCGGCTGTCCAGAACTGTATAGACAGTTCAGTAGAGGTTGATTCCCCTAACCATGCATAAGCTTTTACAATTTTGCGTCGGATTTTTTGCACACAACTACCTGTAGAACATAGTATGTGAAATCGAAAAAACAGCAAGCATCATTTTGCATCAACAGCTCGGGGATATTGCTACGGTCGTTTCACGAGTGCAATCCCATTAAGTATTGTCGAGTCGATGCTATGTCGTCAGCACGGGACCATGGGCCGGCTCTTGACATTTGGCCGATGCTACGGCGAAAAAAGACGAAAACTGACGGACAGGACAGTCTGTCCGATTGGCGTTTTCAAGTGGCAAATTTGACTGGCTTTTAGTATGAACGAAAAGATCTCTTATTTCAAAGACTCGTATATAGGCCACAGTAAATTACGCCGAATAGTAGAAAGAAGTTAAGAGCAGAACAATCTCTTGTGACATCATTTGCTTTTATCACAAAGTTTGCAAACGAAGAAGATCATAGCATGTGCTCTATTAATTGCTAACATTTCACCAAAATACACTTTTATGCATTATATTGTGGACCTCGCGGCTCACACATCGGCTACTCACCAGTCTGTTCAATGTCTTTAAGCCTACATTTTGTATTTAGCCTGCCAAATTCTGGTTGCAGAATAACCATATTCGTAAATTGTCTAAGAGTAATGATGCAGTAGAAAAGACAACTGCCTCATATTCAAATAAAGAAATTAGTAAATATAAATATATACAAATAGCAGAGATAGCATGTGCAATACGACAAGCCTATCTTGTCAGATGCTTGTTACTAACAAGATCAGACGTTGCTAATTGAACCTTCAAGGCAAAGATTGAAACATATAAAGCAGCGAACAAAATTGACCTTTTGATTATCAATTCATCGAATCTATGCTTGTAAGGGGTACATTGATCTTCAAAAATTTACCTTTTGATGATAAAATGGGCTGCTTGTTAAGGAATTGTGGCCCATAGCCATGGAAGGAGTAATCATTAATAAAAAAGCCGATATTGTTTAGCAAATTTTTAACTTACTTAAATCTAACGTAAAGCCCAAAATAATGCCTTCGGCTGCTACAGGCAGCCATGTTATGGCATGAAGGATCTGAGAGGTTTTCATATTTGCACAGGAATCTTGCTGCTTGGACCGCATGCTCAGCTTCTGCACGACTTCTTAAAGGCGTATGTAAGTTACATTCCTGATACCTCAGTCTTTGAATGAAATTTAGTCATTGTGAAGAGCACACGAAGTACGTACCTAATATGATGAACGTACGTTATAAACCGTTTCCTTGGATTTTGAACGGACTTCAAATGTCTTGGGTCAAGCACCGTGATGAAGGCTAGCAGCCTACATTTTTCTTGCTCTTTGGAGTACCATCCTACTCATTCAAACCGAATTCAAATCTTGGTAATCACGCTATGCATTACGAAGGGCTTATGATAACACAGGGTATTTCGAGCAAAATTATTTCAGCTCCAGACACTAATTAAAGCGACGCAAAGCCAGAAGCTAATATCACTATGTATGAAGGGTGTTGGTCACACAAGATGGTGTGGCAACACAACCGTGTGAAGAAATCAGTACGGGCCTGCCAGTAGTTATATATTTAATTCGATTTCACAATATAGATAGGAAAATTAATAGATTTAGATATAGGCGGCATACAATCGAGAAATACAGTTTACGGTTTAAACGAAAGAGTTAGTAAGCCTTGTATTTACTTTTGGAGTAAGTGGATGCGATCCGCCACACTCGTACTGGTTCTAAGTATAGAACGAAGGTCGCCGACCTTAACCAAGCTTCCTCTAAGCGAAAGAGCAACGGCTGCTCCGCTGCGCTTGGTAGAGCTTTCAGTCAATCAACATCTAAGTCGTTACGACTGACCCTCCGAGAAGATGAATCAATTCTCTTATTTGCTCCAGAGCATGCAGGACGGGCTTAAAAAGCTAATGTATCTGCTTGGCCCTAAGGGCGCGCAACACCAAGCGCCTAGGGGCGTTCAGGCAATAAAAATGCTCTGATAGAAGACCTACAGGCGTCGAGTGCGTCCATGACGCCACCGTCGACGACGGATGACACCCCAACCCAAGCCGCTCATTGGTGAGTGTTAAGATCTTCGAGACCACTGATGAAGAAAATCTCCTGCTCTGTGTGAGGGAGGCCGAGATGGCCATGGCGTCCGCCATGCTCCAGACCGAGCAACAGTGCGTGGTCCTAGCTATCTCCAAGCTCGGTGGTCGAGCACGAGAATGGGCACTGACGTGCGGCACTCCGGTTGAAGCGGCGTTTCCTTCCTGGAAACTGAAACTGCAGCTTCTGCGAGTGTTCTCGCCACCTAATCAAGGATATCAGGTGCGATCGCGTTTCCTTGCCGCCCGACAGGGCAAGAAGGAGTTGGTGGTCAGTTGCGTACTCTCATTTCCGGGATGGCAGCCCAGAGCGGTGACAATAACTGGCGTTGTGGAGGGACTCCGCACTGGCGTGGCAAGAATCAAAGTCTTCCGTGTGCATTTGTCTTCTTTTAAAGAAGAGGTGAATGTGGCATTGAAAGCCGAATTCAACATAAAGTTGACACGACTTGGTGGGAATGCACCCCCCAGAGCTCGTCGACGGGCCTGAGCCAATGGATCTCAGCCATTCCTGAGAGAGAGGAGAAAGAGCTCCGAGCTGCCCGGCAGCGTTTATACACCCGACGGTGTTTTGTCCGTGGAGACACCCGTTACCATCGGACTGGTTCTTCCCTGCGCAAAGCACGTAGATGTTCATTTTACCGACGCCCCGAATCTCACCAGTCTGGTTTGTCGCGGGGAAACGAGAACAACCGGTAGGCGCGGGGTGCTCTACTGGGAGAGAAATGAGTTCTGTCGATCCTAAAAAAATAGAGGTCAGCAGAGAAGCAGGGCCGAGCCCCAAAGAGGTCCGTGCTCTTGAACACGGAACGTCTATGCAGGTCGTAAAAGCGACCATGGAGGGGTTTGAGAAGCCATCGGATATCCTTATCGACTCCGGGGCATCGGGCAATTATGCTCGACGCTCCACAATCGAAGGAAGTCAGCTGTATGCTTAGGCGCTTAAAGCGCTGTGAGTGACACCGCCACTGTTCACTAAACGACGGGACATGTGTCACAGTGTCGATGATCCCTGTAGACCTCGATGTCAAGTTTCTTGATTTTGATAGCGTGGAACGCTGCTTAGTCTTCGACCTGGATTTGAGGTATGACCTCATCATTGGTATGGCATGGCTGGAATACTATGAACCACGGATCAACTAGAGGTCGAAGGCCTTGGTCTCTACGCATGTCTCCTAGTGGAGCTTTGGTGAGTGATAAAGTCACCTTTGCTTAACGCGGTATTGGCACGGGCACAGGACCGAGACGGTCAATGTGCTGGAGATTGGAGTATCCGGGTAGGTGAACACCGAAGATGTATCAGACAGGATTATCGAGTATGGCAAGCATGCTGAACGTGGAGTGGCACGTAATCCACTGAACGCTGCTTAAGTATCGGAGCAGTTCTGCGTGCCACTCGTGAAAGGCCGGCCACGGTCCAAGGCATCGGAGGCGCGACCTTAGTGATGCACGAGGGGTGGCAAGTATTCCACTGAGTACTGCTTACGCTTCGAAGCAGTCACTGCACGCCAGGCACGGTCGGACGAGAGCCGAGGCATCTTGGGTAATGCTCTTCAGATGCGCATGGAGTGGCACGTTATCCACTGGACGAAGACTGCGGAGCTAGCAGCTCTTCATCGGATATTGGTAATCTCATCAGGGCTCCGGTAGAGCAGGGAGTGGGGCTAACACTGGACGAAGCTGAGTGCGTGTCTTCAGTGGCCTCGTCAAAACGTACAACCTCTATGAAGAGGCGACAAAGACGCCGGAGACGCAGAATGTTTCTAGCGTACAGCTACACACCTTCGTCAATGGTATGACGGGGGAGGGAGACGGTGACAACAACCTCGAGGCTATTCCTGTGGTGGATGCTCTCCTTGAGCTGGACGAGATGCCCCTCAAAGCGTTCGGCGGTGCCTTGAAGGTAGGCTACTTAGCCGAAGTGGTCATTATACTACCGAAAGAGGAGATCAACTCATCGTCGCTTCTGAACGAAGCTGTCCTGGAGGATTCCAAGAGGGTGCTGAGCGCAAGAATTTAATCTTCGATCGATAAGAATTTCGGATCCTTACTATCCTTGGTAAAGGTATTTCAAGACGACGTCTCCAAAGACCCACTGCCGGTCCTACCTTCGGACCGAGGTGTGTGTCATGAGATCAACCTGTTTCCGCGAACAAAATGTTGCGTAAAACGCCGATATTTTCTGCCCAAGGAGCAGCGCGACGTCATTGACGCTATCTTCTGAGTGAAGCACGACGCAGGAATGGTGCGTGAGAGCAAGTCTCCTCATTCGACACCCACGTTTTGTGTCCGGAAGTCGAATGGCAAGTGGTGTATCGCTCACAATTACAATAAGCTAAAAGCTGCCACCATTCGGCACAGACACCGATTCCTGGAAACGAAGTTCTTCGGAACAATATGAAGAGTGGCTGATGATGCTTCAAGGGCTGTCAAACGCACCAGCAACATTTAATCGTCTTGCGCCGGGCGTATGCACATACATACTTCGACGACATCTTCGTCTACAATCGTGCGAGACACGGTAGGACGGATGAGGAAACCATATTCTTCATTCAAGAGCGGCACTCAAGTGCATGCGCCCGAATAAGTTGTATGCTAATGCAGACAAGTGCATCTTCGGCGCCGAAAAAATCCCCTTCTTAGGGTGCTTCGTTGGGAAGAGTGGCCTTCGAGCGGATCTGCTAAGGTCAAGGACATTGTGAACAGGTCGGCTCCAAAGAATCGAAAGGACTTGCGCAAGCAGCTTAGCCTCGCCAACTTCTTGCACAAGCATAACGCAAATTATGCGGAAATGACACGGCCATTGTCTAACCTCCTTAAGATG